GCATAATAAGAAAAAAATTAAAGATTAACTAAAAAGTTACAGTCAGTTCTAAGTCAAAATTACTCTGATAAAAGAAAAAAAAAATACTTTGGGAGGGGATTAAAAACTTAGATACTGAAGTCTCAAAGTCTTTTTGTTTTAATATTGAGTCACTTAAAGTTTTTACAGTCTATGAACAGTACATTGTCCGCTTTAGATTAAGAGTCAATATTTACTATTCAGGTAAAAAGAACGAAATTGCAGCAACTGTTGCAATGTTTTTTTTATTATTATTAAAAAAAAAACAACTTTAAGATGAAAATACAAATCCTACATTATTGATTAGATCTCTAATGGCTGAAAGCATTAAGACTACAAGTTGCCACCTTTGCAAGAATTTAAATGTACTCTTAAGTTATCATTCCTTTAAAGTAGCAGTGTAGCAACCTAAAATGAGAGTGTGTTGTTTTTTGTTTCAAACAAATGATGAACATTAAAGTACGTTATTTTGAGTGACTTGGAGTGTATGTTTCTGCTGAGAAACAGCAAAAACATCCATAAATAATCTTGATTGGGTAGTAATGCTACTCGCTCTATGTAAGGCAAACTTATCCAGCCAAAGGCTCTCTGTAAAGTAAATGGAGACAGAAGATTTCTTTTGGAAGGACTTAAACTTCCACTAGCTATGCATGTATGTTAAATGTAGCTCACCCATACCAAAACGTAAGACACAGATATGAGAACACATGACCCTGCTCCATTTCTTTCTCCCATTCCCATTTCTCCTGTCTAAGCATTTTCATTCCCTTCATGTGTCAGCCTGAGTGCTTACCAAAGTTTCAATCTCTTAACTCAAGACAGCGTAAAACCACCCACCATTTTGGTCAGGACAGTCATTAACCCAGCTGAAGGCTATACCAACCTTGCAACAGGGGCTGCTGAGTACTAGAAGTGATGCAATGAAAGTGAAGTGACAGAAGCACACACTAGATAAGCAAAACCGTTCTCAGTACAAATAAGTTGTCAAGTTATACACTCGTTCAGTGATGTTTTCTCTAAACTTATGGGGAAACTGAGCTATAAAGCAATACTATTCCTCTCATTATTAATTGTCTTAAAGGTCTCCTTGCTCCTCCTCAAATGACCTTCCAGATCTTTCAGGTTTTATTGTTAAAAGCCACAATACTCCATTCAAAAATGCTTTATGTAGTCTATTTATGCTTGCTAAACAACTGCAAACATTTCTATACTCCTTGGTGTATAAGTAGAAGGAAGTTTGCTAGCAACAGAAGAGTTCACATCTGCTAAATGGTGCTTTATGTCAGTAAATTGATATACAGGATAGTAGCAGTAATCCTTTAAAATGGTTAAAATTTCAGAAATCAGAAAAAGAGAATTGTTTCGGGAATGCGTACACTGCCTAGGCAGACTATGGAAACCTTGCAAGTTAACAGTTCAACAAAGGATTCAACACAGTATTTGCAAAATTGTCTTTGTCAGTTACAGCAATATAATATGCAACAGATTTATATGATTCAATCTGTTAACAATGTACTCAGTGATGAGAACAAAACAGCAGAAAGCTGCTGTGCTCCCTGAGAAGATTTGAGAGCCAGTACCACTCTGTCACAGTATAACACAACCTGAAATATCTGTAGTCTCATGAGATTTTAACAGCTTAAGGGAAGTACGTTTTGGTTTTGCACCCTTTTCACCAACTTGAGCTTTTGGCTGTCATCAGAACAACTCTCCACCCTCCCATTCCTCCAAGTACAACCACTTCTTCAAACATGCTGACAAAAGAGGAACAGAGTAAATTAGTTCTGGGCCAAAACAGAGCAAGCTAAACTTTTTACTTAAATACTTCATGAAAATTAAGCGCTTCTGTGCCATCTTCAACACATCAGATCTACCAGAGTGTAATCATTCTATCCTTTAAACAGTGAGCACCACAGCATGGACAGTAGCTGTTAACACAGCTTAGGTAAATAATGAAGCAGTAAGAGATTGCACACGTCCAAGTGTCAAGGCTACTCAAGTTCTTCCAGAAGGAGATGTATACTAGAACAGTTTGCCTCAGGTTCCCTTTGCTACTGAAACTCTTGTAAGAATTTGAGAGTATGCTAATGGAATGAACTGGTGTTTTAAAATTTTTTTTCAGAAATGCATTCGTTTTATACTGCTAGGATGCTCACCAAATAAAAGACAAGTAAATATTAACTCCTACATCTAGAGAGTATTTTAAAATATTGACGAGAAGGTATCAGACAGGATGAACTCATTTTTCTTTTTAAAAGCTACGAGCTGCATTTCTGTACTGTACTACTCGGGGCCTAAAGTATGCTTACAAGGAACATCCCAGGAGAGAGCGCCTCCTACAAAATGTGTAATATCTAAGCTTAACACAGTGTAAATTAAGCAAAGGAAAACAAGCTCTTTTAAATGTTTTTATTACAGAAAAACAAAAGGCTTACACTTGACTTAAAAAAGCAGCATTATTTCGTGAATTCAAAGTTATTACAGTGAAGTTGCTTTAAGAAACCTTTAGAGACTGAAGAAAAAAAAAATGCCAGATCCCCCCCTCAGACAGCATTCTAGATTACTTGCCACAGCAAAACCCTTAATTTCACATCACTTCTGACACCCAGTATATGACTTTTATGTTTTTCTTCTCCCTGTGTCTTGTTGAATATAGCTGGGAGGATTTGGTGAAAATGGCAGTACATGTCAAGTTTAATTTTCAACAGTTCAGTACACATCTGATTGATACTACAGTTCAGAAGTAACTGAGACACATGCTCTCCTCCTAACTCTAGCAGTTAAGTGTTACAGTTTTAACAGATCCCAGTGTGATCTGTTTCTTACACAGTATTTATCATATTCAGGTGAAGATCTCAGAAGATTTCTCAGCAAGTTATTTGGCTACCACTGATTATAAACACAAACAAAAATAACCACAAAAATGAAGGCTCATAGTTGAAACAGTTCTTAGCACTGCAGCAGAATTCAGAATTATTATTTTTATTACACACCATAGAAGAAACAGCATGTTACAGTGACCACTTCAGTTTTTTTAAGTCAAAAGCTGCAGGTTTCCAGCCTGAGCCAAAATTAGATATGTAATTGATCTGTATTTGAAATCTTAAGAAAAGAGACAAATTAAGAAAACATATTACTGCCTTAATGGTCCTATATTTTGACTATCAGCACTAAGTCGTGCTGAAGTCCAAGGAAATTTACAGGCTTGTCATGAAGTGATTTTTTTCTTTTTTTTTGTTTTTAAAACAACTCAAGAGCTCTGCACCATGTTAAAAAACTTTCTAAACACATTTTAAGCATCTCACTCTTCAAATATATGCTAAAACTACACCTCAAAGATTCTGCCAAAAAAAAAAAAAAAAAAGCAAGAAAACTCAAGTCACTATATACAACTAGCTATAATGACAAAAAAAAAGAAAAAAAGGAGAAAACAAAAAGAGGGGAAAAAAAAACCCCACATACCAGACACCTGCTACTCAGTATTCTATGAACTCATTTTTTTTCCTCTCCTCCCGAAAGGAAAAAGGTTGGACGCAAAATCAGACATGGAATTTTTCTGAAAAAAATTCCTAATCTCCTTCGATATCACTTATATTGTTTGATAACAAAAAATCTTTTAAGTCAGGCATCTACTTATTGTACTCTGCACTGCAACATGAAGCCAGCTGTTACCAAGCTACTTAAACAGAAGAAACAAGTTTCTTTCCTACAAGGAAAAAGGATGCAATACATTTTCCCTGGTTATGATTTATATCATCATCAGGTTTACTCAAACACAGAACTTGTCTATTTAAGCTTACCCATGTTTTTTATTTAAAATTCCTTAATTTAGTGCTATAGCATAGTAATTTCTTATGTGATCAAGCTGCCTTATAAGGAGGACGTTATAATCTGTATTGTACAGTAATATAGCCCCCCCCCCAAAAAAAAAAAAAAGAAGAAAAAAACCCAGCATGAATACTAAGAGGAAGAGCAATTTAAGTTCTGTTTCTGTGGTACTCTCCATGACATCGACGCCAAAGGCTGCTTTATAGCTTTTCCTTGGAGATTTTAACCCTGGACAAAACTTAGTCCTTTTCACAGTCACAGGGTGGTATTAAAAGTGACTTTTATGATTAAACAGGTAACAAAATTGTACTGACCAATGTCTATGCATGTTAATATTATGCTCCATTAACTCCCTCCTTCAGAGAAGGTAACAGTCTCAAACAAAAGTATCAACATCAACCTCCTCAAAGATATATAACAATCTCAATTAAACACTGTAAACCAAATTTACACCACTCAAAAAGCTTATCATTAGAGAGTTATGCAAAATAGTCAGAGGGTGTTTATATTTACGTCTTTCTTTATCAAGTTGTACTGTGGATTCAGAAAACTTAAAGATCATTTGCACTGTAAGTTTGTGTAAGCACTCATACAAAACAATTTAGCAGGCAATCATGTTCTATAAGGTTTATAATGTAGTCTTCCAACATTTTTAGCTGCTAAAGCACTAATAAAGACTTAATTTAGCATATAACTCCCACATCCTATATCAAGTAAACATTCTTGACTGCCAATAATTATATTATTACATGGTAAAACAGTCCTCTAATTCCTAACAATTTACATTTAACTTGAGAAAATAGAAAAGTTTGGAGTTTTTTTTCCAAAATAATGTGCAACAGGTAGAACACGTAACTTCTTGGAAAACTAAGTTGACTTTAGCTATCAGGCTCTGAAAGACTTTACAGATCTCTTAAATCTTTCTTAGTTTTCAGCCTTAATTTTATATGAATGAGTGTTTAGCTGGGCTATATTAGTAGTAGTTCATGACATACGCTAAGATCAAGTAATGTTATCTTTATCTCACTGTTCTGGAAATGAAGAATTCAAAACTCTTAAAAAAAAGACTGTAGAATTGTACCTGCAAATTTCTTCAGTTGATCTTTGTTAATCTATTAAAGACAATTAAGAGAACATCCATTTTTTTTTTTTTCTGTCAATTTCTCAGAAAATTTGAATACATGCAAATCAAAACTACCATAATGCAGACAAAAAGGTCCTCTCATGAAGATCATCAATACGTGACTACCTTCAATAAATAAGTCTATTTGGAAATTCTAGAGAATTCTTTTGCTAAACAAGTTAGTCTTTTTTCTTTTCCATTATGTCTTTCTGTTTAAGCTCTCCATCTGAAAGTTCTGTATATTTTCCGTTCTTTTCCTCCTCTTGTTCTTCCTCACTGCCTTCGTCCGTGAGCTCCCGGTCACCATTTTCCTTTTTAGCTGCCTCATGTTCATCTACCCCTCCATCTGTATCAGCTGTGCAGATTCCGTAACACATAATGCTGATGACCCCCAGGGGCAACCCAAAGAGAAAGCATCCCAGAAGTGGTGAACTCTTGAACACAGACTGTTGAAACACAAATTTGAAGTAAAAAACACTTTCAGTGAATAAACAAGATTACCACATTACTTACTCTATTTATTCAGAAACGTGAAAAATGACAGAGTCAGTTTTTTGGGGGCTTTTTTTTTTCAGAAAGGAGGAAGAGTCCTCATTTTAACAATTCCTACTATAAGTTCATTAAAAAAAGACTTAGAAGTTCAAATATTACAATGTTGCATTGGGATAGTTAATGTTAACATGCCAACAGTACATCCTATTCATTATTTGAAGCTTGAGAAACAATTGTTCTAACAGTGTTAAAATAACACTTTGAAGCAACCAGTTTCATCTCTTATTTGTGTCTCATTCTCAAAAATTAGTTCGAGTAATAATGGATCTGCAGAAACATTCTGTTGTTAGCTTCCTATTGAAGAGTAGTTTGGCACAGGAGGAAGGACTTTTGGTTTCAGAAACTGATGGCTAAATGTTGCACATTCACAGAAGTTTGGAAGCTACTCATACAGAAACATGTGAGTTTCAATTTAAATTCACAGCACAGGTTTTTTTGCTTGTGTAGGACAAGTGAAGAAATGGATTTGTATACATCTTCCCAACAAAATTCTGTTGATAAAAATATTTACTTTAAAACTACACCAAGTGTAGTATTTAATCCCCTTATGCTCTAACTAATTAGACTGAAATCATAACATTTCTCAGAACATGAAAGTGCTATCAATTTCAGTGAAAGAATGTCAAAAGGGTCAAGGAAAAGATTTTGAATTCTCCCTGTTCTCTCCTTAAAATACATGTCAGACTAATACAGAAAAGGAGTGAAAAATGAAGAAACTAATGTATGTTGAATATTTAGCACACTGGAAAATATTATTAAAAACTTTAAACAAGAAGTTCATCTGGCTTAAACCTAATGTATATATACCTATAATATATACACAATATATATATAATATAAACAAACTTACATAAAAGTATTTCTAAACCCTCTGAAAATATTTGCATCTTGATTGACAAGGGCACCATCTAATTTAACAAAAAATAAAAAACTTACCACTACAGTAGACTTGGCATCATAGATTATTCTCTTGATTCGTTGCAGAAGTCCATCACCACCCTGTGCCTGAAATTTCAAATGGAACCATGTCAAAACTGCTGACACTTTTCAGTTATGATTCCAAAAGTTCATTCTTCAGACCTTGCAATCTTAAGTCCCTTTAGAAGGAAATGAAAAGTAATTATTCTTGCATCTCATGATGCCCAGAGACTCCAACTTCTCAAGCATGGATAAACATTTCAATAGTCTCATGAAAAATTCTCTTACAAAACTCTTGTTTTAAACAATCAGTGCAAACTTTAACAGTGGACTGGCACTCCATTCTCTTACCATAGAGGAACACTAACAGAAACTACCAACTGTCCTGATGTAACAATTACAAAATTGCAGAGATCTTCTGAACTTTCCTGCAGCTGATGGATATCTATTCACAGATTATGACAGAAGCCGCTAGAAAAAGCTAAGAACTAAGTAACAAGAAGATACGAAGGTATAATAAAGAAAACTTGTGTTAGGCAATGACAGACTATACCTACATTGCCACCTAATTTAGCAGTCTTCAAAATAACTACATGAATCCAAGGGCAATTTGTCTGTTGAACAGGACCAGTTTTCACCTGTCTTGAGTTGCCAGAGAAACAAATTGGAAGAAAACCTACATTTTGGAAGTCAATTGATCAGCACTTGACCCTGACCAAAACCCCTCAAATTACAAAAAAGTCCACAAAAGTGAAACAGACTCATAGAAGGCTACCTATAGGGCCTTACAGAAAATAACAAGAAAGTCAAGGTAAATAACCCAACACTTCCCAAGGAAGGGAGAGGGGGAACGTTATACTTAGAAATTTCACTGTGAAAGTCTGCATGCTATTATTTGTTTACCAGCACACTTTGAAGACTCATTCCTCAACAGCTGCACAATTTCTTGGGCCTGAACGTAGTCAAAGTAGTGCCATTTTACGTCTATAGACACTATTTTGCTTAAATGAAGTCACATCCTGTATTGTCTGTCTTGTATTAGCACTCTCACATACATAAAGAGATGTGAATTTAGACAGACCTTTAATCATTCTAGCTGAAATACTGCAAACAAAAGGTAGAAAGGCCTAAGTGACACTATGGCAAAAAACACAAGGCATCAAACATGGATTTCCTCAAAGTTAAAAAACAGACAGAAACCAATTTCATTTGTTATTTCAACCAGAAGGATATATTTAAATAGAATCAAATAGATGTTGATAACATAATTCAATGCAATTAACAGAGCATTAAAAAAGTAAGAACTGAAGAACGAAGAACCACCAAAGAAGTTACAGGAATATCCCTCACCTTGCAATGGGAAGCATGGCCAGTAAAGTAATGAACTGCAAGCAAATCCACCTGTATTATGCTGCTACATCAATTTGTCAGATTAAATAAACCCAAGTACCTCATATAACTGAAATGATCTACAGCATTACATGTCATTACCTCCTGATGGGTATGCTGGCATAACATAAAGTGGGATTCAGCTAACACAATAAGCATACAACAGTGAATTGGGGCTTAAACCAACATAAGCTTCTCCCAGGAGGCAGCCAAATGATTTGTTAGCACTGCCCCTCTTCATGGCAAAGCCTTCTTGCCCCATTAGCGCAAATGAAAGCTCTGATCCATGATCTCTTTCCTCATCCACACAACATAGCCTTCTGTCCAACTTAAAGTACACTGAGGGAATAAGCAAACCTGAGTTTGTTTTGCCAACATTAAAAAATTGTCCAAGCCATCAATTCCAGATACATTTATTAATTTTGTTGTTTTAACGAAAGACAGCTCATTTTTAGTTTTAGAGCAGAGAGAGAGCGGTAAGCTTGTGCCTGTTTGTAACATGCAAAGCAAGTATACCACTGGTTTTTGAATCTGAACCTATCATTCGTCAAGCTATTGGATTTATTAATTTACCACCCAAAAGAAAAGGTAGAGTTGAACTATAAAGAAAATTTTAAAAAAATACATTTAAAGCAAACCAGGAGATGAATAAAAAGCTCTCCATTTACCAGTGACACCAGTAAAAGGAATATCAAGAGAAGTCAGCTAACATTGTGCTATAAATAAAAAAGCAGCTTGCTTTCTACAAGAGGTTCTGCAGTCAGAACAGCGAGAACAGCATACCTCAAGAATTCACAATCATGTATTCACTAACAGCACCCAAGACAGGAAGACAGCCAGGACAGGAAGATGAAACACATGGCATAACAATCAGAGTAACCAAATTTTTTCCCTACTTTAGCACATCTAAGGAAATAAACACCAACCAACATATTCCAAGTCACAATAAAGACTTACTTCAGCTGTACCATCCAAGATATTGTTAATAAACTGAACCATGTCTTCTGTGTTCTCAATGTGCCTATCTGGTAGAAAATACTGCTGATTGGAGGTATTCAATACAACGATAGTAGGGATTGTCAAGTCACTGGAAACATAAAACAGATAGTTTACACATTTAAAGAACTACTGTGTAAAACAATGCAATGCAAATAATTCCTACATCATTTAAAAGGGTATCCATTAATCTTCACTTCATGTTTGTTCCTAACAGCAGTTCCTTGAAGGCAAGAGGGAAGGGGGAAGAGAATCACCTGAATGGTTCAAGCATGTTTCTTATTAATATGTTTTCCTTCACATCAGTGTCAGTGATGCTATTGAAGCTTATTGCATTTTACGTACCCATAGTGACTGCAAATCAGGTACCTTATGACTTGCCAATTAGCAAGAAATCACAGATAGTAGCATTGTATATGACATGTACTATTTGCACAACACACAGTTGTAGTGCACAAAGGCAAAAGTATAATCCAAAAATTCAATCCCATACAACTGATCAGCTCTATCAATCAACATCTACCTGTTAAGTCAAAAGAATAAGCCATACCAACCAGAGTTTTTCTACATCTCTCTTAGATATGGCAGATGAGCTACAGACTTTTAAAATAATTATTACTCAGCAGTTGACCTTCACATGCATAAACATTCTTTATTATCACAGAATCAGAAAAAAAGAAAAAGAAAAAAAAAAAGAAAAAAAGATTAGAAATTATCTCTGGAAATAAACCAGTATAATCCACTGTTCAAAGTAGCCCTAAACTCAAAATTAGATCAGGTTTAGGAAAATTTAATACTGCACAAGTACATTGTTCAACAAGAAAGATTTAAAATACATTAAATAAGTAAGGTGAAAAATCTCCTGTATTCTTTGCCAGTTTTCTACAGTTCTGGCAATAATGAATTTAAATACTAGGCAGCTTTCCTTCACAGCAGAAGCAATGCAAACCTTATTTTTCTACATTTTCACTCCTATCTAATAGTGCCCCATCCATGTACATTTGTAATCCATGTAATATGATGATTTCAGCCTTAACTGTGGCTATCAATCCATAATCAATTTTTTCATGTAAATATTATTTAGCATTTACTCAAGATTCCCATTTTTCTTTGAAGTCATAGATTATTCTAAGTTTTCCTCACACAATTTATGTGTTTGTTTATTTTTTTAACTTAAATTCAATTTCAAACCTAGAAGTGAACAAGTTTAATACTTATACATGAAAATTTTCTAAACTCCTAGAAAGCTGCATACTTTAAAATATAAGGTGCAGACCATGTTCCCAGTACGCAAGTTGAAAGCACGGTGGCACCTCAGAAAATGTAAGGCCAACTGCAGAGAAAACAAAATAATTTCATCCTTTCAAGGGAACTTTAAAAAAAACAACCAAACAACAGAACTTTGTCAACAGTGACAACCTGCAACATAAGATTCTCTAAATGCAATTTTTCCCTTGACATTTTTATTCTCTATATATTAGGAACAAACAAGAAATATAAGTAGGAGGCAACCAAACCAAGTCAGGTGTTTTTGCAAGTGCCTGGTAACGAGTTATCAACCTCTGCCAAAATACCTCATCCCAGCCAAAACAGAGCACGTTTTATTACTTAGATGCAGAAAAGATACTCCCCCACCCCCCGCCCAAAAAAAAAAACAAAAGTGTTTCTATTTCATTTAACAGTCTGGTAACTGCGGTTCTTGGAGTTGGCTGTAGAGCAGCTGAAAGGTAAACTCCATATACAAATTTTATATGCTACACAGAGATTCATAAAAACATGTTTAATATGTTTCTTCCAAGAGCTGAGGAATTAATACTCTACATACACCTACAGTTGACATTCCAATGATGCTATATACCTTAGCTTACACAAAGATGTATCTTTGCTTTCAGTAAAACACATAATATTCTGTTTTCTTCTTTTGTGCATAGTTTTAACTATACCATTTTTAATCCAACAAAAGCATGTTCATCCACTGCTGAAGAGACAGATAAATTATAATGTCTACTAATGGAGTTACAGCCAAGTTCATAAGTGTACTTTTATCAGGGACTACTACTTCTATCCCCATGAATTACACAATATGTTGTCCTTTGTGAAAAAGCAGAATTTGTTCCTATGTACATCTAAGCACAGTAAAAAAAGTATTCTGCAATAGATTTCTCACTATTCAGGAGGCTTTTTCTATTTCCACTTGCTGACATCTAGTGGAAAACTAAAGCACTTCCAATACGGTTTTACCCAAATTATTCAGGTAGCCACATGAAGAGCAGCTACTTATAACACCGAATATATTTTGCTGCATTCTTTTGCTGCTTTCCACTTATGCTGGAAATGTATACACTCTGTTCAGAAAATAATTAAAAGTCTGTGAGTACTTTAATAGCAACTTCCCATATACTACGAATTATAAAATCAGGCATTTTGCACATTAAGTTAAACAATCCAGCTGAACAGATCTTGCCACTAGATCACTACCGCTGTAAGTGGCAGTTCTGTCTTCTTCCCTTCGTCTTCTTCCTCCCAGGGACCTCATCTCCCTCCCCTGCTTCTTTGCACATCAGATCTGATACTCAGCAGAATACATGGGAAGACATTTAACAGTGTTGTTAGATCAGCAAAATAACTCCCCTACTCGCCTAGCCAAAAAAGCAAACACTTTTCTGCCAGATAAACAGGCTGAAACAGCTCAGCAGACAGTCAGACATAAGAGCCTGCACAGGTGAAACAATTAATGAATTGAGGAAGGTCTCACATTTGGCAGCTATGAAGCACTAGATCAATCACATCACTTAATTTCAATTGAGAGACAGCTGTTTTAAAATTAATTGTATTCAGGTGTTAATCTACAGAAATTCCACAGAAATACAGACCTTGTGCCTCCTGAGTCCCCATGAAGCTCATAGAACCTTTAGGGGCACGAACACATACTTTGTTCATGCTTTGATCCCCAGAAAGGAGTTTGGAAAACTTGCAGAGCTGGCTTACTGACCCCTGCCTTTCCCTTCTTTCATTCAAAAGGCCAGAGGAGAACAAGTAGTCAACTGTTAATCCCAAGCAACTTAACTCTCTAATGATGCATTTTCAGACAAGGATCATAATAAGGGCAAATGTCAAGCATCTTGTTGAACACTTATGTATTTCAAAATGTGCCATGTACATATCTAGTGCAGACAGCATCTTCCATGCATTTTATGATTCTTCTCTGCAGAAGCATATTTCTATGCATATCTTAAAAATGCATCAAGAATGAAATGTACCTCTCCAGAAATAAAAACCATAGATAATGCATAACCATTATTTACATTTCCTATTACAAATTCACATAACTTTTAATTTCCCTAGTGCCCTGTAAATTTAACAAAGGAGAAAAAACCCACAGTTCTAATAGAGTAATTAATTTAACAAAGTAGACCTAGAAGATAAGCTTTGTCAATCAGCATTATCAGTAAACCAAACTTCTAACATTAAATTATGCAGTTTAATTTAACAAACAGCTGATACTATGTTACATGCTGAATTCTGAGGACAGCGATTTTTTTTTTGACCCATGAAAGGCAGGAATACTTCATAAGATGGTTTTCAATATATTTTCAAATATACTTAGCAACAAATACAAGAGAAGAAAGAATATTCAAATAAGAATTTACTTACTCCATTAGTAAACTGTTAATGTAATCATTTCCATCCATATGGCCAAACTGGAAATCCCTGTAAGAGAAGCAGTGAAAAACAGAATGATGAAAAAGAAAGCAGAATAGTGGGTTTCAGCAAAAGTTCTTCCTTAAATATTTTTCCTATACTGAAGACAAGAGCACACACTCAGCAATGTAATTCAAAAATTGATGATCTACAAGACAGTCAGCATCCCAAAACACACGTTAATGGAATGGTCTTATTAAATATCAGTATATGAATATAAAAGCAAGCACTATAACATGTTTTATGTAGAAAAAAAATGACTGCTGTCTTAGACAGGTTAACGCAGAAGTTAATTTAAGATATCATAGTACCATGTGTGCCTACCTGTGAAAGTGATCCCTATAATCTCTAGCAACTTCCTGAATAATAGATTTTAGTCTAGAGGGGAAAAAAAGTGACATTGATAATCCAGGATATACTCTGTCAAAATACAAACAATAAACATTGAGATTTCCCTAGTAAGCAGCAAATAGTACCTCATCAGCAATAAGGATTCCTATTCCATTAACAAAAAACACCTCGTTCATCTTGCTTGGTTTCTAAGGGGTGAAAGGCTATCTACCACATAGTCTCAACATGAGAAAAACACAGACAGACAGTCAGGCTGCTTCACCTATTGCCTTCTGAAGATGCAGCACTGTGACTCTGAAGAAAATCCAGAGAGGTCTGTGAAAATAGCATACACAGTACTTGAACAATATTTTCTTAATCTAATTATGTATGCAATCAGAAAGGGACAGGGGAAGGCTTTGTTCCTCTCAGTCTCTTCAGCAAACTCCAACTCAGCTGAAAATGCACCTTCTTAATATAAGTTTCACAGACAACTAATATATAAGCATCACTAAAAATGCATTTTTTAATGCAACTGAGCTGAAGAACAGTTATTTGCTTAAAGTTAGTAAGTTCATCTCAAAGCCATCTGAACTCAAGTACTCTCGTCTATATTTAAAAGGCGACATAATAGTTTTAAAAAGCTATGCGATCACTGTTTGCTCCCGTGATCTCATTAACAAATGGCAGAAGAGTGATACAGGAACTCCCATCATCTCATTGAACTCACATGTGCTTCAACAGAGCCATAAAATAAGTAAATTCAGTAGGCCATTCATTTAACCTAGATTTCTTAATATTTAAGAAACTTCCAAAGTTCTCTATGTCATACCACACATTTCTCCCACAGTGTCACCAATACTCAATTCTGTACCTGGTATGTTCCACTGAAGAGTTTTTATCATCAATGACTGCAATAGCCACAAGTTTTCCTAAAACAAGAAACAAAATACTTGAAACCATTTAAAAAGAAATATGCATTCTCAGATGGAAAATACTCCAACCTAGAAGATCAGATACTCTCCAGGGACAGGAATTAGTTTTAAATATGAACCAACCTTGATGCCTAATAGCCTCTTCCAGCTAACCAAATTGTGCTTTTCTTAAAGCTACTGAAAATAAATTAAGATGCGGCTTAATGCCACACCACTAGCATTATAGGAAAAGCCTATCTATAGAAAGAAGTTAAAAGGGGAAAAACACAGATAAAAATTAATTCCCTACTCAAGCTGCATATTTGCATATACCTAAATATGAGGCTATGGAAACCTTCATTATATAATGGCAATTGCAAGCTAATTCTAAGTGATTGAATCACTATTGTATGGATTCAGTAACGACTATTTTTCACACTATTGAAAATTTGGAGTATTATCCTTACAGAAAAAAACATGGAAAATTTACTGGCAGAGCCCAGAATTCATTACATCAGAAAAACAACTTAGTTCACAGACCTCTCTCAGAGGAGCTTAAAGACCAAACACCAGAATATACTGATCTTTTCAGGATTCGCTTTGTGAAGTTTTTTTGATTGAAAGAAAAAAACCCGAAGCCTCCCAAGGTGAACCAGATCAAAATATGTTTAGAAAGCTGGCCAAAGGTTCTCCAGACCAAGCACTTCCTGTCAGGAAAGCAGATCTGTTAACAGTGTAGTCATCAGCTGGATTAACTAAAGTCTCTAGAGTGCAGAAGAACAGTCTATTAAGTCTCTCTAGACACCATGATTCACTCAAAACCCTCTCCACCAAGCCAATCTATTGCTCGATGCCTACCTACCACCATGCCACAGGAAGCATTTGCCTCAAAAAAAGAAACTCACTCTTGTTCAAGTAATACTGAAGAGTTTTGAGGGCAAGAACAATGATTCATTCCCAGGCTTTCTTGTGAAATAGCGATAGCTTCCCCCGCCCCGGTTCTTCCATACCTCAATTCTCACTTCTCCCCATTTCTTTCCACATCCTAAGACACTACCTATTGAATACACTAGGAGATAACTACTTTTTAGACTGGAAAAGAAAATGTAGATAAATTCCACGTATTATGTATTTAAATATAAAGCTCTTAAAAATAAATGATGGCTTCTCCATTGTATTAATAAAGTCATGTTTTTTTTTTTTGGTAACTTGAGGAATTGTTAGACAAAAATGTAACAGGAAGAAATATGTTACATTTAAACAACTTGCAACAGCACTTCTGTAAATAACCTTTTAAAATGTAGGTGTAATAGTATTAGTTTCACAAGCCTAGATGTTTCATAACCTTTAAAATCTGAGAGAACTCAACGTTGCATTGAATATAAACTTCTTTCTTTTGGAAGGGAATGTAGATTATAAGGTATCCTGGCCTGGAAAAATCAACACTTACAGCATTTCTTCTGCTACTTCAGAGTATGTATACCTTAAGAGCAGTACAAGTCATCTCCCTACTCCAGAAGCCACTTGGCTGCAAAGTTTTCATTTGGCTTGCAAAAAATTTTACTAGAGAAAAGCTAAAGTATTCCAGGATAGGTCCACTTTGGTACATGCTCTCCTCCCTTCCTTACCATATCTACTTTAAAGATATTTGAATCCATTAGATATAAGACATATCTAAACCCATCCATATTTGATACTTCTAAATCCAGTCATAAAATTCCCTGTAGGTATTCCAAAAGTTAATATATTAATTTATGCAAAACTTAAGTTGCTCTTAAATTAAAAGTCCTACTAATTTTTTGTGAATACTACAGGATCAGACATATTAATTTTCATATTGTGAGGAAAGGACTAGTGTAGGCTTTGGATGAAGCCTCTAGTCAATAGAACAGGTCTCACCAACATCAAAAAAAGATTGGCACTATCAACTCTAACTCTAAGATTAATTAATTTTTGAGGTTTAAAAAACACATTCTTAGCGCTCTTCAATTTTTCTTAGTATTAAGTACAAAAGATGCCAAAGATTTTAGCGGTAGTGGCATCTCACCTGTATCTCCAAGTTCATACAGTGTAAAGCCATCCACATTAAGGTAACCTTGAAATCTTTCTCTATTTATCCAGGACGACAAATCACCATCTTCATACTCTAAAGAAAACAAGAAGAAAAAAGAAGAAAAAAAAGAATGCATTAAAATTTTTTTTTTTTTTTTGCTAAGGTGGGCAATCAGTTTTATTTATTTCAGTACTACAGAGGCAAACATTGTTTTCTTCCCTTTTTTCCTTTTATTGTTGTTAGACAAGATCTCACACATTTCTGGACATTTCTCTTCAGTTTTAAAACTTCTAAACCTATTTTCAATTGTTGAACAAAAAGTAAGTGTATTATAGCAAAGCATGAAAAGCTGATTTCATCATTATTTTTTCCCAAATCAAGGATAAACAACACTATTTCTAGAAGATAACTGTGATCCAGTGCAGAAAGGAATAGTTTCAATCCCTGTTTTTAAGGGGGGGGGGG